TGGGGACACAGCTCAGAAGCAGAACAAATGCCTACCATGCACAGGCCCTGGGTTCAACCCCAGTACCCCACCCCAACCCAGGATGGGGCCTGCAGTCGGGGAGTACAGACAACCTGCTGGTGAATGCCTCCTGGTCTACCTAGGCTCCCATGATGAAGCCCTGGTGTTCGTCCATGTGGGGACTCAGGCCAGGGTGTCGGTGGAGAGGTGGCTCAGAGTTGGGGATGCTGGATGTGGCTGGGCTTTTGCTTTTTATCAGTTATATGAATGGAGCTGACTCTGCTTGACACCTTTGCTTCTCCCTGAAGAAAAAGCAGTGCCTTCTTTTCCAGCATGCTAAGACGGTCAAGTCCCACTTAGGTGGAGCACTGTCTGAAGATCTGGACCCCAGAAAATCCCCTATGCACGCCCTAAGGCCTTTATGCTCATTTCAAATTCAAGACTCCCAAAGTCAGCAGATGGTAATGCCATCAGCTCTTTTTCTCTTAAAGTCTGATTTCAGCGTTGAAAATCAGTACCTCATGTGGAGTGTTTCTGACATATGACATCAGATGAAGACCAAATAAAAATTATTTTTTAAAGCAAGAGCTAAGCAATTTTCATATTGCAACCGGGAAATGGTTCTCACTGATTTTAAAAAATAACAATTACTCTCACATAGAAACTATTTATTTTAGGCTTTTTAACTTTTTCAATCAACAAGTTTTCATATTTCCATACATTCCTCGACTTACGATGGGGTTACATCCTGACATTGTAAGTTGAACATGTGTTGAATACACCTAACCCACTGAACACCCGGGCTTAACAACACAGTATGCGGAGTCTCCACTGTTTCCTAGCCTGACAGACAGCGAGGCTGGCCAGAGCTGTCACTCACTACTGCCCCCATCACCTTGACAGATGCCAAGCTCAGCAAAAGGGCAAAGTTCAAAATCTAAAGCATAGTTTCCAAGGATCTATACTGCTTCCTCACCATTGCAAAGTAGAAAATTCCTAAGTCAAGTCATCCTAAGTTGAATACAGTCTTGTGTACCACATCTTTAATTATTGCAGCTTTGTGCTATGTTCTGGTATTTGGTTAAGCACCAGTTTAACCAAACTCTCATTTCTCTGTATTTATTCTCACCTATTTCTTCTTCCAAAATAAGTTTTCAGAATCATCTGCCCAATTTTTTTAGAGAATTATAATAGACTTTTTTTTTCTTGGAAAGTCCGTTAAATCTTAAAAAAATCAATTTCAGAAAAAGTAGCCTCGTGGCCACTTTTAATATTCTCGATGGCATCCCTCTCCATTTTTTCAAGTTCATCAAAATAGCTATGCCTGCCCTTGTTATTTTCTCAGACAAGGAGATATGATTCTTTATAAGATCAAGAAAAGTTTTATAAACTTAAAACTAAGACAAGAATGATTTAAACAGCAACAAATCTGAAAATACATAAAGAGCCGATCAAACAATATAGAAGAGGGACTCTAAGCCAAACCAAAGGAAAACCCATTAAAACTAGACCGCTCATGTGCCTGAATGGAATTTTACCATTAACTACCATTTATCCCATTTAATTAGTATTTTCCCGACACACAATAACTTGCACAAAAATACCGTTCTCTCGCCTTGAAATTTCTAATTATTGTTGCGACCCACACCATTACGCATGCCCCAGCTTTCTCCATCTTTCATGCCATTTAAGCGGTGAGATTTTCAATTATCTACGCAGGACAGACAGAGATACCTTTAAGGAAAGGGGCATAATATGCAACTCAATTTCTCTAAAAGCCAGGAGAGATCATTTTTAGTCAGAACAAACACACTTTGTCTTTCATCATTTTTTTTTTTTTTTGCAAATAAAGAGTAAAACAGGCTATTTAAAACATCCATTTAAATGCAAATTTTGATATCCCAAGAGGAAAATGTTAATCATTTAAATAGACAGGATTATCGCCTACCCTCACCACCTCCTCTCCTAAGTTTTAGAAAATGTAGCCTGAACCCACCCAAGCTAAGCCCACCAGGAGCCCAGAGGTCTGAAGAACTCCCAAAGGGAGAGACCTGTTCTCCTTTTGAGGAAAGGGTGGAAAAAAGAGGAAACAGTATCAAGTACCCTATGAGCCGGCTGGGGCAGGATGACTGACAGGTGGGCTCATGGATCATCATGATTGTCCTGAAGGGGAGTGATTACCCCCATTTATATATAAGAAAACAGGCTTAAACAGGTAAACTGAGGCTCAGACAGTCTGCCCAACAGATAGGGGACCCAGGTGAGCCAACAGGTCTCCACAGCCCTCCCGGTCCACTGTGACCCCCCAGTCACTTGTCTAGACTCACCCAGCATCCCCATGCCAAGCATGAACGCATCCATGGTGTAAGGCAGCCCCCGGGCCCGGCCTCTTGTCCCAGGTGGGAACATGACTTCTTTCGGCTGAGCTTTCTTACATTCTACCTGTTAAACAGAGAGGCGAACAAATGAGATGCAAATGAATTCCACGTAAATGTCAAATGCAGAACCGATCTGGTTACAAGCGAAGTTATTTTTAGCCTTGCTCCTTACTCACTGTAAAAATAGCCTTGCCGAGGTGAGTAAATGGCCTGCAAAATAAATATTTAAGAAAACGCACCACTTGTGCAAATCCTGCTTTGGAAAAACCTACAAGGATGAAATTAGGTTCTGGAAGGGCAGCAAGGACATAAGCTAAAGATACACACACACAGGCCAGCTCAGATGGAAGCTTGTGCAGAAAGCATGACAGTTAAAGAGGCCACCAATGGCTGAGGGATATGTCTGTGAGCAAACAGCAATAATCACCAGCCTTCGCGGTCGTTGGGCCCTCTGTACAAATTCCTCTGATGTTTCTTCAGGCCAGGGATCTTCCCATCAAGCCATCCGATTCTCTCTCTTATAAAGTAGACAGGCCGCTCAGTCTTAGCTCTATCTCACAGATCAGAAAGCCAAGCACTGGAAGGCTTGGGTATCCTGCCGAAAGCCATCTCCAGGAGGTGGGGGCCTAGAACCCAGGTCTTTCAAAATTTCTAGGTTAGCAATGCTGCCATTTCCATAAAACCCACATCACTGCTCCCCTGAGGGCCGTCACAGAATTAAACACTGATCCTGATCATCTGGATTATAGGGTCTCTCTCTTTTTTTTCATCTACACCTTCAAGCAGTTGCTCATCTTTTCTATCTTTTGCCTCTAAAATGTTTTATTCCTATAAGTGCACACCCAGAGGTCACTTAATTTAGCAACCTAAACTATACGAATATGACTCGGCAAATATTGCTTTGGCCTGATAAAGTTCCTACACCATTTTACCAGGGCACCTCAAGTCCTTGCTCAGGGCTTACTTGCTCTTTGAGTTTAAGGACAAATTTAACAAGCACTGTTAGCTGGTGATCTACCCGACTGCTGATGAAGATAGGCTATGGCAGAGGAAGGCAGGGACGCTAATAGCAACACTAACAGCACGGCAGCCTGGCAGTGACGGAGGAAAAAGGAACCAGGCATCTCATTTAAAAAGCAGTCTTGGGCAGGGCACAATGGTGCACATCTGTAATCCCAGAGACTTGGGAGGCTGGGGCAGGAGGATTACAGGTTCAAGGCCAGTTTCAGCAAGTTAGTAAGACCCTGTCTCAAAATAAAAAATATAAAGAGCTGGGGATATAGCTCAGTGGTAGAGCTTCCCTGGGTTCCATCTCCATCAACTCCCTTTCTCCCCCACAAAAAAAAAAAAAAAAAAAGCAGTCTGGGGACATATGGTATAGAAGCAAAAACTACACTTAGTATAAGAGATACGATGTTTTGCTGTGACTCAGAAGACTGCTATTGCTCAGAGCATGCCTGAGATGTCAAGAGCTAGCTAAACTGTGTGCAGTATATATTATTTAAAAAAAAAAAATGGTTCACATGACTAATGACCAATGTGGTTAATACAAAGAGTAATTAAGAGATGAGAAGAGATGAGATGAGCATCCAAAAGAGAAATGGGTAAAAGACATGAACAGGAAATTTACAAATTGACAGTGACCACAAGAGTAAAGAAGCACACATTCTCCAAATAAGACATTTTTCACCTATCAGATTGGCAGTGATAAAGGACTGTTTGAGTAAGAGATCATGAGGGTACGGGGAACAGGGATAGGAATTGGAACATATTTTTCTGATACATATCAGAAAATGATACATCAAAACCTATAAATGTGCACATTCTTTAACCTAACAATCCTACTTGTAGGAATCTATACTGCACACATGGATGAGGCTATTCACCAGAAGTAACAGTTATAATAGTAATTTAAAAAATCTCCCGAAAGTTCTGAAAAAATTGGTTAAGCTGATTTTGGCTCATCCACACCGATAGAAGGCCACACAGCTATAGAAAAGCCCACTGGAAAACAGAACGGATACAGGAAATCCTTAGTTCCAGGCAAACCAGGACAACTGGTCACCCTAACGGTAAGATAAGATTGATTTGTAACTGTAAATTACCGTGACTTTGTGGACAAAAAAAAAAATGCATATAATGGAGAAAAATATACTAAAAAGACATACTGAAGTGTCTCAGGTTGGCCTTTTTAATAAAAGTTACCACTGTAAATTTTTTGGATATTTATTTTCCAAGTTTTTATAAGATAATGCAATAGCTTGTCACCAATAGGGCTACTAGGGTATTATCGCTGCAAGTAGGGGAACAAGGAGGAAAGGTGATTAAAAATAAATAAATTCACCAGATTGGCTCTTTTAGGTTTCTTTTATAAGCCCAGGGGTGGTGATTTGCTCCGGGACTCCAGGGATTCAGAGAGAGAAAGGCAGCTGAGGAATCTTATTTGCGTGAACCTGCCCCAGCCTGGGAAGGTGGGCGTGCCCTGCACAGGCAGAGAGATAATTACCTAACGCCAACACCAGGATGGGGAATAATACCGCTAACCAGCTTGCTTCCTAATAGCCCTATCGGTGACAATCTATTCCATTGTCTTATGAAAACCTGCTGCTGGTTCCTAGGCAACCTGATCAACGAAAATTTCAGGTTTATACAATTTTCATTTAGGGAACATAAAGGTTAACTGACTGTAATGGGAGTATTTTAAACAAACCCACCTACTCTTCCTCTCAGCGAACAGGGCTGGCGGCTCTGTTTAATTCTGCTCTATCTTTGCTGGTGTCGCTTTGGGCAGCACCGGCCACAAGAGTTCTGTCAACCACCTGCTGTGTCAATGGTAAGTGCTCCCTGAGGCCAGGGGCCATGGCATACGCACTCTCTGGGGGGGACCCCAGGCCCTTCCTGGGCATTTGAGTGACAGGGAGAGGCAGTGGTCACAGCAGGGCGCTGGGCCTGTACTGAAGGCTTCTCAAAAGATTTCTCCGGACCAGAAGGCCTGCCCACACTGCCCCCCTCCTCCTAGAGGTCCAGGCTAAATGAATTCAACCTTGCAGAGGAACTTGTGCCTGGTAAGAGTGAGGCTTTGGGGGACACGATGATGAACAAGGTCAGCCTCTACCTCTGAGAACACTCATTCTATTGAAAAAGAGCCGGCACGGCCTGTCTTGTTCTCTGAAGATGAATGCAAGTATTCACACACCGAACTGCCCCTCGCTACCTCTGGGCTTGTCATTCAGCAGCCTCTGGAGTTAAACCACATTTGGGTCTTCCTCCCTGGGGAAAAGCCACAGAACTTGGCATGATAACCGGGGGGGGAGGGGGGGGTAGAGTTGGACACCAACTGGGAGAAACCAGCCGACTCCTGGGCCCTGGTCATGGACTCGGGTCCTCTGGCTATCCACACGTTCCAGATTATCAACTGCTTCAAGCTCAGCGGCTTCGAGCGACCATGGATCATTCTTCCTTGTGGTTCTGAGTTCACTGTGGTCTCTCACGGAGCTGTGGTTGGATGGTGGCCAGGATTGAAGCCAGGGAAAACCTCGACTATGCTGGAAGCCCAAGTGCTGACCGGGGCACCACCCACGGCTTCTCCAGGGCACGTGGTCCGCTCACAGCGTGGCAGCTAAGAACTGCGAGGGAACAGGGAACGTCCCAAGCACGAGCATTCTGGAACAACTCAGGCAGAAGCTGTAAGGCTCCTCCTAACCTCGACTTGGGATTCACCCCAAGCCACTTCCACCATCTCCTGGTTCCACTGGGCCAGCCTAGATCCCTTATGGGAGGAAAATGCACAAGGGCACGAATACCAGGAGGCCAAGACAGTAGGTGCCATCTTGGAGACGGCTCTCATATGAGACCAATGAAGGGCTGTGAGCAGGCAGGGCAGGGGACACATTTCTTGTACCCTGGTATTCGGCTGTCTGGGTTCTTAGGGCAGTGGGCATGGAGGGCTGCTCTTACCATAGGGAAGAGGGCAGGACATGGTGCTCCCCTTCCCACTGCAGCCCCAGAGCGGCCTGCCAGGCTCCCTGCAGTCATCAGAAACAGGTGGTCCTCACGGTGGCCTGGCCTCTTGCTCCAGCTGTCTCTACACCACCAGCTAAGACCCCTCTTTATGGTAGAATGCTCCTAGCACTCCCACGGGAAGGAAAAGCACCCTCCCCAAGTGCTTTTCACAGGGCAGCCTTGGTGGCAAAGTCTGGAGGAAGGAACACCTGCAAGTCTAGCCCTGAGTCTCCCCCCAACAACCACTTTTCACAATGGCGGCACTGCCACCGTTTCTACTGGCAACTGAAGACAGCAATGGGATCGGCAGGCAAGAAACGGAGCAGGATCTTCCACAGAGAGTTGTGCTTGTGAGAAGCCTCAGAGGCCCCCTTGTGCCCAGCTGCTCACACCAGAAAGACTAGGCCTCCATTTCCAAATCCCACAGCTGGCAAAGCCACAAGACAACCCCACACCAGGGGCGAATGCCAGGGACGTGTCAACTCCCCCAGTGTGGATGGGATTTGTTAAAAAATTTCCTTCTCCTCATCTGCTGCCTTACTTGACAAACTGGCCTTGGAGGGAAGGGAAGGGCTGGATTCCTTGAATTCCCTGTGGTTATGGTTTTAGGATAGGGACCCAGTGGAAGTCCTTTACCCCTGGACAGGAAGCTCCTACAGACAACACATCAGGGCCTGCTGTGAGCCTGCACCTGTGGTCACTACACCCTTGTGCATGCTGCTTATCTGGGAGAGGGGACCTCTTCCCATCACCATCCAAAGCAACTTAGTAAGAGGCTTCTTGTACTGAGTGCTCTTCACCCGATTCAGCCACTGCTAACATTGGGTCACTTCTGCCTTACCATTTACACACTATGTCTATATCCATAGGTTGTATTTTTTTCCCATTTGAGAGTAAGTTACACACATCATGGTTTGCATTTCCTATACATGAGGGCATTTTCTTAGGGAACCACAGCTGAGTTTTATCCATGTCAGGACAATTAATGCTGATACAATAATTTACCTTTTTGTCAATGAACCCAATAATGCCCATTATAGCTATATATATTTTCATCTTCTAAAACGGGAAACCAAGGCCCAGATTTCAGACACCTAGCCAATAGTCCAGATCAGTACTTGTGGGGCAGGGCTGGGATTTGAACCCAGGTCTGTCTACACCCACGGCTCATGCTGGGGAGCAACCCCTGTACTACACCCTCTCCCTGGGGGGATGCTTGGCATTGGCTTTCAGGGAAGGTGCGGGAGCTTCTGAGGGCATGGCTTCTCTGCAGGCGCCCTGAGTGGCCACTCCTGCCCAAGCAATCTGAAGGCCCTGAAGAGGCAAGCTCACTGCCAGGGTGTGTTTGGGGGAGAGGCGGGTAGTCAGAGAGGAATGCCAAGCTCTGGGAAGTGAAAAGGCTTTTGTCTCTCCTGGTCTCTACACACAGGGCCCCAGTCAGCACGCAGCCCCAGGGGCCGGTGGGAAACCCAAGCACTGCACCCGTGGCCTTGATGCACCCCCAAGACAAGGAGGCTCTGTCTGGCCTGAAGAGGCCTGTGTTTGCAGCTTCATCTCTCACTGCAAACAGGTCCTGTTAGGAACTATTTGCTCCTCCAGGAAGAGAGGGGCCTATTTCAAAGGATAGAATTCCCCAGTACTGCAGACATCGACCTTGACCGTCTGGCTGTCTGGTTGAAGGGAAGGGAGGGGAGCAGAGGACCAGGCCTCTTGGGGGAGGGGAGGGCTCAGGGAGGGTGTCTTGTGGTTTCCAAGGTGGTACCTTCCTGAGAGATCCAACAGCCTGGCCAGGCCTGCCAGCGATCAGGCTGCATCTCCTCTGCAGTCAGCTCTGGTGGCCTGCAGGTGAACACTGCTTCTCTGAAGCCCAATGTTGACCGAGATCTCCTCTGGCCATTAGATCTTTAGCTCAGTCCAAGGAGATGGGGAAGGGAAGAGGAGAAGACACCCAAGTGCAAAAACTCGGGACCTTGACTAACCCAAGTGCAGAAACTCGGGACCTTGACTAGAGTCCAAAGCCAGAGGCAGCAGTGTGCCAGCCTCGCGTCCCAAGACCACACACTGCCGTCTGCCCACCAGCCTCTCGGCAGCCTCGGCCCCTCTTCTTCCCAGTTACTCCCTCTTGCCCTGCTTGTCCATCTCTGAGAGACCCCTTGGAAAGCAAGATTCTTTGTGGGGCTCTTACAGGTTCATTACCAAGATTCAGAGATCTGCCTTCGGGGAACTTGCAGGGCTAGGAAGTCACGCCCAAGGTGAGCTCCTTAAACCAGCCTTCGCTCCACCAGGGTGGGCCGGCACTATGCCTGGCCTAGAGCGCACCCGGAGCAGGGCCAGCTACAGAACGCTACAGGAGATGAGGGGACCCTGGTTCAACAACTGCTAAGAGTTTCAAGATGGCAACAGCAAAGCCATTAACCAGAACAGTTAATGGGCACATGCAGCTGCTCAAGTCTCACAACCAGGACGCTGGTCAGGCCAGCAGCAGAGGCGAGTACGGAGCAGCCACGTGAGTGGTGGCACGTGCACCGACATGTCCCCCCAGGAAAGGCACAGAGGGCCTGGAGAAGGAAGGAAGGCAGGACCTGAGGCTTTCTTCTTTGCACGTGGTACTCCTGCTTGAGATACATATTGGCCACTACACTCTGTGTGGCTTTCAGAGTTAGGTCACCTCTTCTCAGTCCTAATGTCTCTCACAAGGTTCCAAATCCATCAAGATTCTCTTCTCACCCAGGGCCAGAGGCAGGATAGGTTCACAACCAGGTGAGTACAGGGCTTGGGAAGGGCAAGTCCTTGAGACAAAGTCATCGGTTAGGGTGAGGGACGGTGATTTCACTCCTGAAAATCCTGACAGCTACGCTGAGAAGCCCTGGCTCTGGAATCTAGCAGGGGAAGGACATTTAACCATTCTGCAGAACCTCTCCCATGGCACCAGCCCTTCTGCCCTCTGCAAGCTCAGCTGGGCTTCCCAGCTGGCTCTGGTGACACTGGAAGGTGAGCGCAAGACAGTTCTGTGTTCTGTCCCTCTTCTCTCTCCCCAGGCAAGCAAGGCACTGTCCTAGTGACCAGAGACCAGCACTAGACCAAGCACCAAAGCCCCTGGTGGGCATGGACCCCAGAGTCTGTGCAGGAAGAATTACTGTGCACACAGCAATGGAAATGCCAGCATAGGAGGTGGCGGCGGCCAACAAGAACATGTCTTCAGAGGACACATACCTGTCACAAATAGCCGGGACCCACTAGTGACAAGCACCAGGAGTCCTATGGGATTTAGGATCCTGACTCAGCAGGATCCCTCTGGGGAGGAAGGAGCAGAGTTTGTTGCGCCCCACCCACATGCTACGTCACAACATCCCTGTGTACGTGTGTACGTATGTAGCATTCAGGAGATCTTCACAGGTTATCTTACACACATACACGATGGCTATCAAGCACAGGGACAGGCACACAGGGTCCTCAAGGGACGTCTCCTACTCTCTGTTCCCTCGCTGCACTGATTTCCTCATCATTAGTCCCCTTGTTGACAAGGAAACAAGGCTTGGCAGAGTGTCCTGCCCACAGTCACAGGCAAATCCAGGATTCAAATGCAGGTCCCCAACTTCAAAATCTCTGCTCCCTCTTCTGGGTCCTGCCCTCTCATTCCCTCCCTGCCCCTGTCTCCTCAGCCTCCAGGCTCAACTGGATGCTATTTCTCCCACGAAACCATCCCCGACTCCAGCTTCCAGAATTAATTTCTTTACCACTTATGGAATTAATTTCATCCACTGTTTCCTCTGCTCAGTGTTTTATTAAAATCAGTGATGGCAAAGTGAAGTAGGTCATAAACTAATAATATTAAGCACCTACTATTTACCAGGCAGGCAGGCCGAGTGTGGACACGGATGGGAACATTGGGGATGTGGCTCTTCCCTGGGGGGTGCTCAGAGTTTGGCAATAGGTAGAGAGGAGCTGGTCCCCAATACCGTCCAAGACCCCCACTAATTGCATCCCCCCCCAACCCTGCCCCAATCGGAGGGCAAGCAGGGGCCTCGTCCATCATGAAGCAGTGTCTCCCAGTGGCCAAGTCCCCCAGCTCTAACTCTCTGCTGCACCTGCCACCTCCCTGAATTAAGAGCAGCTAACTTCTCTCTCTGCACTCAGCGTTCTCATCTGTAAGTGAGAGTGACAGTAGTGCCTACCCCACGGGGCTGTCGGAGCTGAGCCTACACAGTGCTTGCCCTGCACCAAGTTGGCTGAGACATCCCTGACCCTGCTCCACACTGAGCCCAGGTGAGTCTCTCTGAGGGTGATAATGCCAGCTCAGGTGTTCATGCAAATCCAAGAGACAGGAGTGAAAAGGAGAGCAGCTACCCCTCCCCCATGGTCAGCCTTTGTCCTAACCTCCCCCACCTGCCAGCCAGGTAGTCCCCACACCATGCATCAGCAAGGTGTGCTAAGGGAGCCTTGCAGGCTACAGTATTTGGGGAAAAAGCTGACGGTGGCAGCAGCAGCTGTTCTCTTTATTCCTGGGCACCTGCAAGGGCGTTTCAAAGTGAAAAGAAATTTCAGCCTCCAGCAGGTGCCCAAATCCTGCCAGGAGAAGAAGTGGGCGTCTACTCCAGCCCCTGGTGGGCTTTGCCGGAGACCCTGCCAGGAGAGCCTCACCCAATTATTTAAAAGAGAGAGAACTTAAGCATCAGGCGCGACCCTCCCTGGATGTCAGGTGCGGCAGCTGTAAGGGGAGATTTAAGTAAGAATCTGGAATAAAAGTCTATCAGGAAGGACAGAAGAGAAGGGAGAGCCCCTCCAATGGTCTCTCTGCTCTCCCCTCACAATCCTGGACCTGGGCAGCTAGTGGCATCAGGTGTCCAGAGGCGCAGGACACCCACCCACCATGGCTTTCTCTGTGTAGACTTGGCCAGGACTCACACCTGGGTGCCCCCTCCCTGCAGGCCAAGTGACTTCTGCCTAAAGAGCAACATGCCCTGACCCCCTCCACCCAGCTCCCTCCATCCCTCCTCCAGGGGCCCCAACACACAAATCACTCTGCTCCCATTAACTCTGCCTGTACACAAACAGTCGGCGCCTGCATGCGTGTGTGACGCGTGGGCGCAGGATCTCTCCCTCTCCCACGTAAACACAAGATTCATTTATTAAATGCCTCTCTGGCATTTCCTTTTCTGCCTTCATCCTGCTTGTTTAATATTGCATTTGACATTCTCATTTTATAAATGGCAACAGAAGCAGAATGGATGGCTAAAATTAGCTCACCAGTGAGAGCCATGCTACAAACAGGAGGGTGAACACAGAAGCCCAGTTAATCCCACCCACATCACACACACACCCCCACCACTGGGGGGCCGGTTCCCAATAGAGTTCTCGGTCTTCGGGGGATGCGGAGGAGCGCTGGCGGGAGCCCAGACATCCTGCACTATGCCAGGGGCTGAGGCCCTCAAGCCCACCTGGCCTGGGATGACTCCTTCCCAGCACCACAGTCCTGAGACCCAGAGGCCAGCTCCGGACTCTCCTCGCTCATCCTCCTGGCCCTCCCTCTCCAGAGCCCTGTCTGAGGCCCAGTCCCGAGGTGTGCCCTGAGCAGAAGAGGGCAGGCCTGAGATCTCCCCAGGCTTCGCTCCTGGAAGTGCTTTTTCTGGAACTTCCCCAAAGGAGGATGTGGCTGAAGAGTCTGACTCAGCTTGCTGGGATCGAGAAGGTCTCAGGGTGCTTCTGTTGTGCTCAGAGGCACTGACAGTGTCCCCTCCAATTGGGGTACTTGGGACCAGCCCTGCCTGGGCCCACGGCCTGCACGCTACTCACTTCTTACCTGAAAAGCACCTCCCTCCCACCCTCCCTCCCAGGGATTCCATATAGGTCCACTCAGGATGATTCTGAGAACCAAGGTGACGACACTAAACATATACCCCTTTGGTGGAGGGTGCCGTGGCCTGGCTGTTCCAAACCCTTTACAGGCCCTAAGTCACCGCACTCTCTGAGCCAGGCAGTAACAATGCCTCTTTCTGTAAGAGCAGCTAGAGAGCCTGACTGACAGGAAGTCACCTTGCCCAAGGTCACAAAGTGGCAGTGAACTGTGAGAGGGTTTGTGGCACTCTGTGCCAGCAAGGCCTCTCAGTTGGCAACACCCCTGTGCTGTACTTCCTCCTGCTCAGAGCTTGGGGTGGGGGGGGTCCTAAGAATCAAGACCCTGAGCTTCCCACAGGCTGCTATCCCAAGCCCCGGTGTCTGTCTGGGGTTCCCCTCTCTTCTTTGCCTCTGTCTAATAAAACACTATTCAATAGTGAACCTGGCCCCTGGAGACAAGCAGCCCCCGAAACTGGCTGGCTTCCTGCTTGATTGGTTTAGGCCCAGAGTTGCAAACCATGGCCAGCAGGCCAAATCGGGCTGGCTGCCGCCTGTTTTTGTAAATAAGGTTTTATTTGAAGGCAGCCACGCCTGCTCATTTGCATATTGTCTGTGGTTCTGTTTGGTTACAATGGCAGAGCTGAATAGCTGTGCAGGGACCATATGGCACTCAAAGTCTCAAATATTTACTATCTGGCCCTTTACAGAAAGTCTGTTGGCCCCTGGCTTAGGCCAAGTGGAGGTCACTTGCTGTTACCAAGTGGTTTTCAGCACGCCTGACTCTCCCAAGCCTTCCAGATTATAGATGCAGCAACCGAGCAGGCGAGACAGGACCTGAATCAAGGCCTTAGAGGAGCTATAGCAGGCAGCAATTCTGTGTTCACAATTTGGCAGAAAAGGAACCAGATGCAGACACATTGGGGACTCAGTGGTGGTCACAGAAAACCAGTGGTGAACCCTCAAATTCAGTCTTGGGTTCCAAACCTCTCAGTGCCTCTACATGACCCAGCAGGTCCCAACGAGGGGACAAGGACACGGGCACTTTATCAGGAAGCCAGCCTACAGCTGTGCCTCATACATCGGCGATGCTCAGAGCACTAGACAGACCTGGGGATCCAGTGCCAGGCCCAGCGAGGCCAGGCTTGCCCCAGCTCCACACTCCCCTCCCTCCCAGCTACCTTCTTTCTGACGCTGGATGAACGATTTATTACCCACAGCTCCCACGTTATCCATCATTAGCAACGATCCTCGCCTGGCGCTTCTCAGACTTTAATGTGCACACAAATCACCAGGGGCTTGTCAGCGTGCAGCTCCTGACTCAGGGGTCTGGGTGTGCCCAGGCCAGCTTCCAGAGGCTGCCAAACTGCTGGGACACGTCCACCTGCTGACCACCAGGGCCAGGTCTCCTTTCATTTAAAGACAATGGGCCACCAAACTAGTTGTACTCACCAGTTGCTTAGCAAATTTCTGAAAACCTGACCACCTTAAAGGAATAAGAAAAAGGACTAAAGGAATCCTGAAATAGCCCTTCTATGAAGTGAATAAAATCTCTTCCTCATAGTCAGTTATCAACCCAGATTTTTTAAAATATTACATTTGCCAAGAGGGCAGCAGGGTAGAGCGGGAAGAGCAGAGTCTGGAGCCAGATTGGCATGGGTTCAGATCTAGCACTGCCACTCAGAACTGTCCCACTGTAGCAGGCCCTTCTTCGCTCTGAGCTCTTGTGTCCCACAGTCAGGGGGAACAGGATCCCTACTCAGGATGCTATGAGGACAGACAGGAGAGGGCATGGCTCGTAAACACTCATCCCTTCTGCTGAGCCAAGTCTAGAAGGCTCTACCCAGGCACCTCCCTGACATCCTTTTGGGGAAGGCCGTGCCAGGCCTCTGAGGAAACCTGGAGCTGGCTCTTTGTCAATTCCCGCCTCCCTCCCTGCAGCTGCCCGGCTCCTCGGAAGCTGCCTGAAGGCTGGGCTCTGGCGACTAATCAAGCAAGTGTCCCTGCTGCTCAGGGGCTGTTTCAATCAGGGGGAAACGGCAGGAGGCATTATTAGCTGCACCCGCCATGGGGCTCACAGAGTGGCCAGAGAGGACTGCTCTCAGAGCATCACTCCATGAGTGCATTTGTGCCTGTTTATTGATAAAGAGCCACATTTGCATTTCCCTCTGGCTGGGGCTGAGTCTCGCTCTCACAGGGTTGGGCCTTGAGCTCAGGTGGCAGGTAGCTTCCCGCCCCTGTCCCTTGCCACTGGCAACTCTGTGCCAGTGGAGGAAGAGGCTGAGAGATCCGTGGCTGACTGGGACCCCTTAAGCCCCCAACTTGGCCCTTCTCCCTAGCCAGGAATCGGGCCCCAAGGGAGCTTGTCTCCTCTGCCCTTCTTCTAGAAGATCAAGGAAAAACATGGGCCACAATAGGGCTGAGGAGGAAAGGAAAGGACACGGACTGGCCATGGGAGGCCCAGAGGCCAACAAGAGGAACTTTAGAGTCTCCTTCAGCCCAGACATGAAGGATGGCCTTGCAATACACACTTGAGCTCTGGAGTACGGCTTTCGGGCCCTGAATTCTGGGGCTGCCACTTACTGACTATGTGAGCTTGCAATCTCTCTCTGCCTTGCCTTCCCTATCTGTAAAATGGGGGTAATGACTACATCAGAATGGACATGATCATCAAATAAGATACGTAAAGCAACATGTTGGGTCTTTCTGGACGTCCTCCTGCCTCATCCTAGAGACCACACATCTTCTTGAGGCCTGCACAGGGGGTGAGGGGATGAAGTCTTATGATCCCAGCTTCCGGAAGACAGCTATCCTGGGCCTCAGCAAGCAGGAGCACTAGGGCCTGCTCTGGTTGGTTGGATGGTACAGAAAGGCCCTCCGTTTTAAAAATGCCTGGGAGACTTATCAACGGGATTAGCCTGGAAATGGCTTCAGTGGCTATGACGTGCCTCACTGTCATGAGAACCCTCACTGAGTCC